AATGGAGATTTGTCTATTTGACATATACCCGTTGAGAGGCGTATTTTGGTCCACCTAAATCCTTTTATTACGTACTTTGACTGTAGTAAAGTTAATTTTTTTGATACCCGATTCTGGTAGGGTGGGGTGTGGCCTGCCATTCTTTTCTGAGATAATTGATCTGATACGCTATACAGTAAACAGAGGGGGAAAAGCCAAGCGCTAATTCAGCACATAAGCATGTCTCTCAGCTTATTCACCGGAACAGCGGCGCCTCAGCTCCAACGATGCCCTCGGATATCTCATAGTCCCTGGTCTACTACTGTTGCTCGCACGCACTTTCGATCAATATTTCAACAAAGTTCAGAGACTAGACAGCCTCTTGCAACCACAAGGCTCAGGCCACTCGATGGCATCACAATAGTCTCCCTCGAACATGCTGTAGCAGCACCATTCTGCACGCGACATCTCGCAGACCTGGGTGCCCGGGTTATCAAGGTGGAAAGACCTGGCGTCGGAGATTTTGCTCGTGCCTACGATTCTCGAGTGGATGGGCTTGCCTCGCATTTTGTTTGGCTCAACCGGTCTAAAGAGAGTCTGGCACTGGATCTGAAGAATGCCGAACATATGAAAGTACTCGTGGCACTCCTCGACAAAGCAGATGTCTTCGTCCAAAACCTGGCTGCAGGTGCAAGCGCAAGGCTAGGTTTGTCATATGAAGCTCTAAAGTCCAAGAACCCCGGTCTTATCGTTTGCGATGTCTCTGGCTACGGCGACAGTGGTCCATACAGAGAGAAAAAGTCTTACGATTTGCTTGTTCAAAGTGAAGCTGGTCTTCTTTCTGTCACTGGTAGCGAAAGTGAGGTTGCAAAAGTTGGCATATCTATTGCCGATATCTCAGCAGGCATGTACGCATACACCAACATCCTCGCAGCCTTGATGCAACGCCAGAAGACTGGCTCAGGGTGTCGATTGGACATCTCCATGTTGGAGAGCATGATGGAGTGAATGAGCTTCCCGCTATACTACGCATATCAAGGAGCACAGTCACCTAGAAGGACAGGAGCATCTCATGCAACCATCTATCCTTATGGCCCATTCGAAACTGGCGGTGGGGATGCCGTGACTTTGGGTGTCCAAAATGAAAGAGAATGGACAAACTTTTGTCAATCGGTTCTGGAGAAGCCGGAACTGAGCCAAGATGCTTGCTTCTTAAGTAACTCGCTCCGTGTGCAAAACCGAGAGGAGCTTAAGGAAATCATTTGCACTGCTTTCCGACCCTTTAGCGCAACAGAGATCCGGGCCAAGCTATAAAAGGCGTCCATCGCCAACGCGACTGTGAACACGATGCAAGATGTGTGGAACCACCCGCAACTCCGTGCGCGAGGCCGCTGAACTGAAGTTGATACGCCCAAGGGCCGTATCCCGGCTCTTATACCTCCCGGTATTGCCACAGCTACTGGGGCGAGGATGGGCGCGGTTCCTGCACTGGGCTAACACACACTATCAATATTAAAGGAGCTGGGCTTCGACGCCGGGACTGTTCAGTGATTCTTCGTGTTTCTTCGTCTACTTCGTCTACTTCGTATCTTTTAGTGAAGCATACTAAAATATGTAGTATAAGAGTCTTGTCGTGCCAAACACAAGATAGCTGTTATCTAACTCATGAGAGAATAGTATTTGCTGTTTTAGTTTAGCCAGCGGCATGTTAAAAATCACGGTCACATTCATCATACATGATTTTAAACTTCTCGGCTGCATTAGTATCCCAGCCAGGCAGAGGCGACTCATCCCAAACCCGATGATTTAATATGCCTGGTTAAGCTACCTGCAGTTATCATCACGGATTTGCCACTCAAGGAGCCCACGTACACAAGTCTTCAAAACATTATGAAAGTCAAAGAGGAACTCAGAAGATCAAATGGGCGGACATTGAGCTTCTAGATTAGAAAATCCTCAAAGCATTCAAGGTCAAAGGTTGGCCTGAGAAGCGAAGCTCGTTGTTTATGAGGCGGTAGTATGATAGTGCAGCCTTGCCTCATGCCGTCGAGCCTGACTCTGAGCTTCCGATAACACTTGCACATTTCCATGAGATACAAAGACACTTCCCGTTCTGACATATTCTGACTCGCGCCAATCGGAACCCATTGTTTTCCGGAAGCCGGGGTTCCAGGTGGTATCGTGTCAAAGCTTAGCCGCCGCACTGCATAGTGGGCCAGCCTTTGCACATACAATCGACTCGGTCTCTTCCCCGCTAACGCGTCAAGACACTGAGACTTGAGCAATAGAACGTCGAATGATATTTTATTGCGACTGTAGGTTTTGAGGGCCTAGGAAGCCGCTCAAAAGTCCACCTCCTGGGTGGTTCCCGTCCATGCCACCGCCTAGCTGTTCGCCCGATGCGAAATAATTATTGCTCGAATGGGTTGTGTTTTGTGTGTGAGAGGTCCCGTGTAGCTTTTGTGCTATAGATACGTCGAGGTATTGAAGGAAAAGATTCGACACATTGTTGTTGATTCTCCAATACTTTCGTATTTCTTGTAGGCCCAGAAGGCATATTTGCGTACGGTTCTCAGCAATGCGTCGAAGCATTTTCTGATTTCGTTTGATGCCGATTGTGTGAACACAGAAGGCAGCAAATAGGCTTGTGATACTAGAGGGGGAGTCAGTGATAGTTTCGAGTGAAAATGAGTCTCTGGTCCCCCTTACATGTGCATCTGCCTATAGCGGAGTGTACCCTGAGCGAGCACGTCTTCCGCAATTCTACTGATCTTGGTCGCTGCTGCTACCACAATCTGCCCTGCGTTATCGCTTCCCTCCTGCATGATGGAATCATGTCAATGTATGAGAATTTTCAGATGGCTTCAAGTCTATTCAGCAAGCTGCTCAATACGTTCTCAAATGGTGACTTACTTATATGCTAAGTGCAGGAGATACCCCCACACAGAGGCGGTACCGTCTTCAACACTACGACTGATTCCTTCCGGCAATCCTTCCTTCCATTCTTGGAGCATATCATCGACAACTCTTAGCTGTTCTGGCGTCAAGGTCTGTCGACCTGGTGCAAAATGCAAATCAACAACTCGACCAACTGTTTTTCGTCAGATGTCCTTCGCTGCATTCAATCATAACAACATGCTTACATATCTTTGCCAAGTTGACCATGTTAATGGCGTATTTTACGTGCTCTGGCTTACATGAGCCAAATATTGAGCCATTCGAACTAGTGACCTCCGTTTTTAGGTCTGACACAACTAGTGACTCAACATCACAATCATCATCTCTAATCCTGCTAGGAAGACCCAGAGAAGCAGCAGACTGTCTTTCTCGGACCTATATTGCTCAAGAAAAACGTTTATATTTTCAAGTAAGTGAAGCTCACGTAGATAGACCACTAGATCCATTTTCTAATGCGTGCCTTCAAGGGATCGCTGGTTGCAAATCTTGTCCTAGATATTTATTAGCATATGACGGCAAAAACTTGGTGATTGAAAGTCACTAACGAAGATGCAGTCCATGCGACCCTGCTACTCCAATCACTACGCCCAGCCAATACCGGACATCTCGAACATCAGAAGGCCCACCACGCCAGAAGCTCAGAAGAAATAGAGACTAGATCAAGGTAATGTGATCCTTTTCCCAGTCAGCATGGAAAAGAAGCTTTGCCCATGTGTACAATAAAGGCTTAGCCTCAGTCCTGTTGCTAAAACCCATTGATGTAATGGTCCCATTGTCACAGTACAACGCTCCAATAAAAAGCATACACTGTAGTAAAAGATGGGATGCCTGTGAGGTGGCAAGCTCGCGAGAGAACTCTGTCCTGTCCAGTATTGGGAAACATGGATGAAACCACGTGAAGTAGGCTTGCAGAGCTGACATGCACACTTGCACGTCCGGTAAGGTCAGAGCACCCTCATATTGCAGGTAACGTGATTTTGCGGCGCTCAGATGCTCGATATTTGCGGAATGATCATGTTCCGGCGCAGAACGTGGTATGTAATGTATAGGGAAATGAAGTTGAGCTTTCTGTTACGGATGGCTCTCCTCTGAACTCAGCTGTTCGCCCGGACGAACACTCTCGGGAATCAGAGTGAGAGGGTTCGACTCGCCATATAACAGTGTTTCCTGAGCAGTAGTGCTAGTTCCCTGTGATGGGTTTGTTGTTGAAGCTCCGGTGATCGACTCGTCCTCGTTCTGCTCAGGAGCTTCGTCCGGGGTGATATCATGCGTGACAGATACTGAAGGAAACGAGACTGAAAATAACTCATCAACTTGCACGCCAGGGATCGCATCCGTTTGTGCCAGTGCATCTCTCTGAACCTGTCTTTTCGGTGGTCTATCGTACCTCCCTCGACGAGACGGAAATAGCTCACATTGGGTTCCAGCCGATTCACAGTTGGAACAAGGGTGGCACTGCGTCACATTGCATTTGAATCGTCTAGCATGACACTCGTGGCAAGCATGCTTTGCACGAACTCTCTTGCTAGTAATTGAGATTGTTGGCCCAGAGTCGACAGGCTGCTGAGGCGTGGAGCCAAGGGACGACATAATAGCCGAATGTCTTCAAAGCTCGACCAAGATCAGAAACAAATCCCCGTCTTTACAACTTCAAACTTTCTCGGTAACGGCTTATTCTAACATATGGCTTAACGGTTTGGAGCTAATCGATGATGATTTGCAAGGGAGAGGCTGCTATGATGTCTCGGCTTCTCGAAATAGCCGAACCTCCACGCCGATTACTACTAAGCAATCTGGTCAATCCGATTGGCTGCTGTGACATACATTAACACCCCCAATGCTTCTGGGTTTCTAATCTTGAGAAACTTTAGAGGATGAACTATCGCTGAACCTACAATTATTGAAGTGACGATACTGTGCTTGTTATTGAGATTACAATGCAATATTCTTTTCCCATGATCTTTCATACAGCAGCGACTCGGTGAATGGCCATTCCAGAGCACCAATAGCATGCAGCAACCTACTGTTCACCCGCCTTCTCTTTCAGCTAATGAGATCCCGAATTAGCCCAGCTCTAACCGAATGCCCTTGAACTGGGGCACATGAATCCTACATTTACTTATATCCATTTCCACACTGTAAGCTGTTTGTTCGTCAGATTGCCGAGGCTAAGCTCGGATGTCTGTTGAACTTCCCCGGATGCAAGAGTACCCATGAGCCGACCCTCCGTAGCGCTACCAAAGCTGCTAGGAGTTTACATTTGACATAAAACCATACAACAAGCATATAGAAAGACGTAAGTACACCCGTACATCAAATCTGCTTTACCAGAAGCCAACTAAGCAACGTGGATATAGCAAGCCGGTAGGCCAGAAAATATTCGTCTGTATCATGGCCTATCAACGAAGGAGCCGTGCTGGGTGCCTCAAGATATTGGAGAAACTAATGTTGCCAAGTTTCTAAGTTATGTTAACAAGAAGCATAGCCTTAGTCTGAAGACGTACGGAGAGCTGCATCAATGGTCCGTTGACCCGCTCACTCTACAGGACTTTTGGCGAGATGCATACATCTTTCTTAAACTCGCACCTGAGGGTTCCGACACTGTCGGGCCCATGATGGATAGTAGAGTGAGTTGCGATAAAGAAATTGAAGTACTTTCAAACAACCCTAGATGCAATGTCAACTCTGACGTGCTCTACAGGAAGACACCAGTCTTTTCCCGCCTCCCACGTTCTTTCCCAGCGATCAATTGAACGTTGCGGAATTGCTGTTGCGCAAAGGTGCCGACGAGAAAGTGGCCATTCATTTCGCCAGGGAAAGTGTGTCGGGTATTGAGGAAGTCACATGGGGCGATCTTCGCGTACGAGTGAAGAGAACAAGAGATGCAATGACCAACTCAGGCGTTCGTTCCGGGGATGTGGTTGCGGCTGTGATTACGAACTCGGTCGATGCGATGGTCATCTGTCTCGCTGCCCTGGCGATTGGTGCCATCTGGTCATCGTCGTCACCTGACTTAGGCCCGGATGCTATTTATGGCCGCTACGGCCAGGTCGACCCCAAGCTAGTCTTTGCAGATGATAGTTATGTATATGCTGGAAAGCTGGTGAAGCTCGGCCATCGGATCGAACAATGGGCAGAGAGCCTTCGGCAAACAGGTACCCAGCTACGCAATGTCGTTGTGATTGCCAACCGCGGTGTGGAGACAGACGTCTCCAAAATATATCGTGGTTGCACCTATGATACGTTTCTCAGTAGAGGTACTGGTCAGGCGCTTGAATTCCAGCTACTTCCATTTTCACACCCGGCGTTTATCCTGTATTCGTCGGGCACAGTAAGTCCAGAAGACGCCGAGCCTTGCCTTTTCAAACATTCAAAAGCTAACGTAGAATGAAATAGACTGGTAAGCCGAAATGCATAGTCCATACCGCAGGTGTACGTGGCCGATTAAAGCGGGAGCATCCTATAGCCTGCTTGTGAGCAATTGCTAATTAGTACAATCATCAGGGTGTTGCTTTGAAAGTCCGAACCGACTCAATCATTCAGCACGACATAAGAAGTGATGATATTGTATTTCAATACACAACAGTATGACCACTTTCCTGAAACTAAACGCAACGGACGGCTAATATTTTTGGAAGACATCATGGGTCATGTGGCTATTGAACTTCATGAACCTCGCCTCTGGAACTTCGCTGCTTCTGTACGATGGCTCGCCATACCATCCTCAACCTACCATTCTTTTGGAACTTGCAGAGCGTATTGGGTAAATAATTAGACCCCAGACTACTTTAGAATACGACGGCTAATTTGATTGATAGCGTCAGCGTCTTCGGTACATCTCCTAGATATCTTTCCGACCTTCGGGCGCGCTCAATTGAGCCTCGTAAGTGGAACTTCCCCAAACTCGGACTCGTTACGAAAGCTTTGCTCACTCTCGGGCTCTGCAGGGAAACAATTTAATCTGAACAGCCTTCGCGTAGTGACATCGACTGGGTCTGTTCTCTCTGAGGATTTATACCATTGGTTTTACTCCCAAGCTTTCCCACCGAAAGCCCAGCTCATCTCTATGAGTGGAGGGACAGACATTGCTGGCTCTTGTAGGCGACCCCTTAAATCTCAATCGAAAACTATGTAGCTACTGATCACTCACCTTTGACGGCTAGTTGTGGGAGGAACGCCATTGCTCCCAGTCTTTGCTGGACAAATACAATGTAAAGCTTTGGGAATGGCGGTTGATATCTACGACTCGGAAAGTACGGAAACCGTTTCAGTCGAAAAGTCTGGGGCTGCCGGTGAGCTGGTCTGCACCCAGCCCTTCCCGAGCCAGCCTCTTCGATTCCATGGGCGGGACGGCCTAGAAAAGTACAAATCGTCTTACTTTGAACGCTTTGGTCCCAGGGTCTGGTGCCAGGGCGATTTTATCCAGTGTCTGGTTGACACTGGAGGTCTACTCATGCTGGGGAGATCGTAAGTGACCAAAAACATCGTCGGGTTGGCTCGTGTTCTCCTAGCTAACACTAGGGTGTCTTTGGCAGTGATGGCGTTCTCAACCCATCGGGGGTGCGTTTCGGCTCCGCGGAGATCTATGCAGTCACCGAGACTTTCCCGGATATATTAGATGCGATATGCGTTGGTCAGAGACGAACGTGCGACAACGACGAACGGGTCCTGCTATTTTTGAAGATGAAGCCAGCTTCTTTCTTCACGGAAGACTTTCAGCGGAGGCTTAGGGCTGCGATCAGGGAGAAGTATACTCCCCGTCACGTCCCCAAGTACATCTTCGCCGTGGAAGACATTCCCTACACAATCAATGGCAAGAAATGTGAGATCAACGTCAAGCATATTGTCGATGGCCGTGAAGTGGCGGTTAGCAATACTGTGGCTAATCCTCAAGCTTTGGAAATTTACAAGCGTTTCCGGGGTCTTCCGACTGAAGATCGAAGGACCGGGACCAAGGCAAACTTGTAATTCACTTTATCCAGAACATTGTGAAACATCAATCAGGGCGGTGTGTTCGTAGTCCGGGTCTACTTGCGCTAAGAGCCATTTGGGAGACTGCTAGTGCCCTGGCCAAGCATGTCAATTTACCCATACTTCGGAACAATCAATTCAATCATTCTGAGGCTGTGGATTTCATTGAATTGCTTAGTGAGCGGCTGGAGGGTGTACGAGAGTGATTGAAAGCACATCTTAGCAATTGTGATTAAATTAATAGGATCAACTGATAGCGCGAACCGCGTCAACAGATAAACTCTATACTGTCATATCTGGGTGTTGAGATCGTATACTCTTATCGATAAGGTACTAATATCTTCTCTTGCGTTGTCTGATGGGGAAGCGGTTCCCAAATGTAAATAAATCTTCTCATCACGCATGAATGCAGTTTCTACGGGACTTCACACAGACAATAGACTACCCGTGCTTTGAATTTTCGGTGTCGGTACGACAAGAATCAGGCTTCCCGGCATAGCCACTACATCCACTAGAAGTTAATGTTGATGACCCATCCAAAAATGTTAGCTGTGTCCCGGCTATTCCGGCTGCCACGGTTCGACGACTGCCATTGTACCGAAGCCGAGGTAAGTATAGTGGGGGTTACAAACTCCACCTCACCTTCTTGATCGACAAGATTACAGACAGAGGGAATGAGTTTTACAGACCAACGAGGCCAATATGCAGACGGAAGTCCAAACCAAGGGCTTAGGGGGGGAGTCGTCTAGGCCAGTTAAGAGACGTGCCCGAATCGCATGCACACCTTGTCGACTCCGCAAGGTCCGATGTGATGTTTCTATGCACGGCATTCCTTGTGTTCACTGCAGACTGGATAAACAGGATTGCAGCATCATACCAAGGGTGCGAAAAAGGTAATCAATATCTCTCCCAGAATCTCAACTGATGGATGCTCATATGAGAGGACAAGCACCATGCTGATCGAACAATGATTCATGCCACAGATTTCCCAGTCCAGAACCTAATTTTTTGAAAGCTCGATCAAATCAGCAACCACAACAAAGACGGGTGTCTCTGCCCATAGTCCGATCTTCTAGTCCTCAACCACTGTTCGACTCTGACACGCAGGACTATCCAACCGGGCCCGCTGTTCTGGAAAATGTTAATCCGTCAACAATACCCGTTGCACGCGATATCTTCAAACCCCCAGCTGAAGTTTTAGACACTGGTCGGCAGGAAACTCTACGGTCGTATCAGGCTTCACGTGGTGTTGAAACTACAAGTCCATCTTCCGACGCGACACGGGCCGGCGGACTGTTGTTGGAGAACAATGGTACACAACCCATCTTTGAGGCTGCTTCAAGTACTACGACCTCATGGATGCATCGGCGTGGAAATTTTGTTCATTTTTCCTCTTACCAATGCATTGAGGTATTTGATCTGACTCGCGTCGAACCTTTCGCTGCTCTACTTCTAGAGGAGTATGGATGTTTCTATGTTCCCGCCAAACCCATACTCTATGAGTTTATCAGGCAATACTTCCTACATATCCACCCAGTACTCCCCGTTATGGACGAGGTGAAGTTCCTGGACATGTTCCATACGAACACCGTGATACGACCTTGTCAAGAGCAAGTGCCACTCTTCCTTTTTCACGCTATACTCTTTCTTGCTAGCTCGGTAGGTTTGATTTATGATTTTCGTGGTTTGAACAATGATTGATACATGTCTAGTACATTTCCTCAGCGACCTTGCGCAACCTAGGTTTCGGCACAGCTCATGAGGCCCATGCTGAATTCTATAAGAGATCTAGAGTGCGTGAGTTGTATTCGAATGCTGCGGAATCATATGCTGATGATCTTGAGCACAGCTACTTTTCGTCATGTGTCCTTCTATCAACGATGCCGCAAGAGCTCGATGTGCACTGATGCTGACTTACCATGCACCTTTCACTAGTGATGGAGCCAGTACTTTCTGGTTAAGCCAAGCAGTTGACTACTCAAAAAGAGCTGGGGCTCATTTATGTACCCGGATAGACAACGATTCACGTGAGAAGATATTTCTAAAACGTCTATGGTGGTGCTGCATATTGCGTGACAGGATTATGGCATTGGTACTGCGACAACAACTCCATATCAAGCCCGCAGACTTTGATCTCTCCCTGCCAGGACCGGGTCAAAACGACTTTGCGGACGAGATAAGATTTTCCATGGTATATGATAAAACCACGAAAGTAAACTTAGTACACGTCTTCGGAGTGCTCTGCGAACTAGCTGTTGTGCTAAACGACGTTCTTAAAGTTCTTCATTCGGGAACACTCTTGAGGAGGGGCGAAGTCCAGCCGAGCCATAAAGAAATGAGACAGTGGTCCTGTGAGCTTGATATATGGTATGAACGAGCTCTCGATAGATTTAGTGTCTTGACATCCGTTCCTGAAGCTCACAAATCTCTAATTCTCTTCAGAAACATGATATACATATACTACAAGTATGTTCTACCTGTTCCCCTATCCACCTTAGCTATGTGCATTTGCCTGAGCTCTTTACTAAACAATACTTCTAGCACCGCCAAGGCTTTTCTGTGTCATCATAACCTTCTGCTCCTTACGGTTCAATACAAGAATCAAGAGGACCAGGAAGGGCTTCTGTTCGAAGCTCAGATGGGTATGATTACATCTCTACGCAGCATAACTGATAATCTATCTGAACTGGAGCACATGGGTCTTTCTCAGTTCTTACCCAACACTTTGTGAGTGACTAAACTTTCGTTGTAAGTCAATAGAGCTAACGCCCTTAGTATCGGATTCTCTGCTTTCCCGTTTATCTGGTACTTGCTTGATATGAGATTGAAGTCCGTTGGACCATCTCACAAGACTCAAAGAGGCCTGAGAGTATATACTAGTATCATGTGGAAGTTTCAGACACGCTTCGAAAGTACTAACGACGTGCTTTCAAGTATTAAGAAGACTGTGGATTATATTCAGACCAATGAAGGGCCGTCGCCAGCTTTCACTGGTCTTACTCACCAAAGCCTAAGGCACAGAATAACAGCACCAATGCCGAGATCGCTCACTAGAGACGAATTGGCCGCCGTGTTTCTTAAAGGCCCACTGGTGTTTCTTCGGATCTCGATTACCGTGGAATCATCTCTATCACATGGACGATTCCCTTCTGAAGCTGACTTTCCGGAAGAATTGCGGGTAATCCAACAAAAATATGAGGTACCCGACCTAACCTTCCTAGCAAACATACCTGAGGAAATGTGGTCGATGTGTTTACAAGAAGTCTTGGATGCAGGTGTAGGAGCTTAAGCAGAAATAACAGCTCGTTGAGTTTTTTTTTGTGGTCTCTAGTTTGAATTCTATAATTAATAACCGTAATGAACCTATGAACAACGCAGAACATTAGGACGTTCTACCACTTTAATGTGTTCGTCCTGTGTATTGAGGATACATGTTGATTTTGCGAAAACATTGTCTTATCAGTAATACGAGTCCAAACTATCCTGCTATGTGCAACAGTGGTTTGGCAATATACATAATGGCCTCGAAAAGGTCTCTTCAGCTACAAGCTGCTAGTGTTGCTCAACACCTGGGAGTTTCAATGATATTTTGTTCAATTTCAGGTTTTTTGTGTACAGTTGGTAAGGGGTAACAAATCTGAGGAACCCACTTCACAAGACTTGGGATATACCTAGAGAGTGAAATATAGAATAGAAAACACTTTAAAAAGCGTAGAGTGGCAAATAAGCCATACATAGCGTGCTTCAACATGAACACCTTCTTAAAACGAGTGTTCAGTATTCTATCAACTTAGATTGAATAATAATGAGACCAGGAATGGCTTGAAAACCATTCCAAGACTTTTCATCTATGTATTGATAGACGCATTTAACAGCATATAAGAGTCTATATACGTCATTGCTAGTAAGAATAGCGATGGATTCTTTCTACTGGGGTTATCCCGATCTCTAAGTAGGTGCTTGTAATTTCAGTAAAAAGATGGTTGAGGATATTAAGGCGCAAATAAATTTCAAAAACTTTTGTCCAACTTCCCTGGGGCATAATACGAATGTGGATCGCGTGTAAAGGAAACAAAAATGTTTTGTCGCTAACTCCGATAAGTGTTTAACAATGTTTGATCTGAGGAGTAGTGTAGATTCACGCGACCAGAAACAGAATTCAAATTAGATGGGTTGATTAACGCCGCTGAGTACACTTTCTTGTACAACTTCGAGAAAGGTTGTATCTGTAAGTGCTTGCCGATTAGAATTCACAAGCCTAAAGTCCAGATTTAATAATCGAAGATCAAAGCACAAAGTTAGCAGGTGGTTCTCTCCAGAAGCAGGTCATGAGAGAGAGAAAGGGGCATTCGTGAACATACCTGGTTCAATGGAATGTTGAAGTTGTATTCAGCAAGAGATAGCTCTAGGTATATCTATGAGCAAGATGAGAGGCTGTTATCCGGTTGATTCTCTTTGATTCGCGATACAAGACCTCGCGCAAAATCGGACCATCCCGTCCCAGACAGCGTCAAGAAGCTGATTGATCGATTCTTCAGCTTACTGGACACGCCAGATCCAACGTAGGGAATATTCTCGCTGATGAAATCTTCGCATCCGATGGCCGTGCGCAATTTGGCGGCCATGTATTCGCGGGGACTGAAGGTACGTACGAGTCTAATAACTTAGCACCATGCCACGTAACAATCATTGCACAACCTCTGCTATCTTCTTTGCTCGGTCTAATCCTTGCAACAAAGAAATTCGCAAAAGCAGAGACAATGCCTGGGCCGCGTTCAACACACGAAAGCATATCGTCTTGAGAGTGTACTCATCCAAAGCGAACGCAAGCGACCTGCTCTTCATTGCTTTGGTCGCGATGGATCTCAAGAACGGTGAACACGTCGAAGGCGAATTCGTAGGGCGTCTTGAATTCCAAGACACACAAAGTTTTAACCCCAAGATTAAATCATATGGGGTTTGGGCGGTGCGTCAAAAAAGTACCCCAGAACTTTCCGTCGCAACGGGAGGACCAGAGTCGAAAGATGTACTAACTTGGAAAGTTTAGGATACTGCTCCATTAGGCAAAGCCCTAAGCAAGAAATAAAGTGTTTGATGGGCCTTAAAAAACCAACACCATAGCGCGCTGTTAGACTGGATTATGTAGCAGGCAGAAAGTGGGGTTTTAGTCCACATTTCTAGCGAAACTACGTGCTTCTGTTCACAAAACACTAGTCTACCTTAGAACTGGCATGATGTATAAAGATATACTATACAATGCTCAGTAATACCAACAGATTAGTCTACAAATATCGCAATGCTCCAAACCAAGGCAAGAAGGCTAACCCTCGATACTTCACCGGGTACCCCTACAGCCACGGAAGCTGCAGTCACATGCATAGAGTATATAGTCCTCATTTGAACCTTGGGTAACTCCTCAATGATCCGTCTCGATTCAATGACACGAATTATTTAGTTCATGCACATCTGCGAAACACCTCGCACTGGGCTAAGTACTAAGTAGAGAATACCAGCCAAGGCGCTACGTTTCATCAGCAGATCACGTGGCAAACAGATACGTATGTGCCGAGCATCGAAACGAGAGACAGAAAGGAAAGCCTATTCTGTACCCACCCTACCTTGTCACCAATCCAGCCTGATGCAATATGTCATCATTTACGCACACATCGAATCAAGCGATTACCATCAGCTGCACACGCACACACACACACACACACACACACACACACACACACACACACACACACACA